TGTCCATGAGAGGAAGGTAACTGCACACAGCCTGATGGGAAAGATCTTCCCTGATATACTACAAAGCAAGCACCTTAGGTAGGAGCCCAGTTGTGGAATGTATATTCAACTCTGGTTATTTGCAATAATTCCAGCAAAGTCATTACAACACTGAGCTCGTGAACACTGAACCACACTCCTGCGGGAGACACAGGGCTGGGTTCCTGTGAGCCTCTGATCACAACCGATCAGCGCATAACCTTGTTTTGTGTACTTCCGTGTGATGTTTTGTTGATTCATTATCACGGAACTCATAACCAAGAGCCCTGTAACTCCTGCCCGAATGAAGCTTGTCTAACATACATCTTTCCCCCCAAAAGGCACATCACAGCCGTCCTACACTTAGGACCACGGGACAGCTTTTAAACAGCAAAGTCACCCATGAGCAGACAAGTGAGACAATGTGGCACTGAACACCGAGAAAAGGACTTGTTTTAAGTAAGACAGCTGAGAGGAGAAGGCGGGGCGCTGCCCCGCTCCGTCTCAGCTGGGCACACGCAGGCAGAACTCACATTCTGTTGGGGCTCTGCACGAGTCCGTGAATGGCCGCAGAAGTTCTCTGAGTACTGATGTGGGGCTTAAAAATAAATTTCAGTGAGCAGGCGAATTCACAGGTGGGGAATCTTCGAATCACGAGGATCGACTGTGTGTTTGTATATGCTCAGCACATTTCTAGAACATGCACCGGATCAGTTTGGGAGAAGACACGAGAACCTGCTGCTCCCAGAAGGCACCTGTGCAGCCTGGGGTGGGCCAGCCAACAGAGAGAAAAAGAAGGGAAAGGGAGGAAGGAAGAGAATCTGGCACTCCTGTTCACGGGCCAGTTCCTATGATTCGTCCGCCTGTCCCACCTCGTAAATAAAAAGAGCTTTCCCTAATTATGAAAACATACAGGTAAGCCTAGGTGTGGAAGAATACACTGCAAACTGTGGGGATGGGACTCTGGTTTCGGGAGAGAACTAATTTTTTGCACTTTATCTTCTGGAATTTTTACAACAAAAATGTATCTCATACTTAAAAAAAATTTGTTAACCCTCATCCGAGGATCTGTTTACTGATTTTAGAGAGAGAGGGAAAACATCAGTTTGTCGTCCCACTTATTTCTGCATTCACTGGTTGACGGTTGTATGTGCCCTGACCAGGGATTGAACCCACAGCCTTAGGGTATCCAGATGATGCTCTAACTGGGCTGTGCCGCCACAGGCAAGGCAGTCTTCCTTTTAAGGCCATGCTACCCCAGCACAAAAGGCCACTGGTCATGACTTTTGCCCTCTGGCTTTCTCCAACCCTCTCTCCATTCTCTTGCTGCTCTGTGCCCTGGGCTAAGGACTCAACCACCCAGTGATCTCCAAACAGCAACAAGCAGGCAAAGCAAAACTCCAAGTTTACGCTACAGAATGATCATTTGACCAGCACTTCCGATTAGGTCTATACCTCCAAAAAGTGAAAACAGGTGTTCAGACAAAACCGGCTCCTAAATGTCCACAGCCAGGGGTGAAAATGACTCCAGTGTCTATCAACAGACAAAGGAACAGAGGCAGTACATCCATAAAACGGAATAGTGCTCGGCCATCACAAGGAGGGAAGCACTGGTACATGCTGCAGTGAGGACAACCTTGAAAACGTCACGTGAAAGGAGCCAGACACAAAAGGCCACATGTTATATAATTCCTTTTATAGGAAATACCCAGAACAGGCAAATCTGTATGGACAGAAAACGGGTCAGTGTTTGCCAGGGGCTGGGGGTGGGGAGGAGTGAGAAGTGACTGCTTAATGAGTACGAGGGCTTCTCTTGGGGTGATGACCATGTGCTGTGGCCAGACAGAGGTGGCGGCTGCCAGCAGTGCACTTGTACTAAAGAAACCACCGAACTGTACGCTGGAAAATGGTTAAAATGGTGAATTTCATGTTGTGGTATGAATTTCACCTTAATTAAAAGGAATATGAATAAAACTCTGAGCTGTGTGACCTTAGGCCAGTTATTTGACCTCTCTGAACCTGCAGAACGAGCAGACAGCAGCATGGCCACAGAGGATGCTGGTGGAGATTCCACGTGATGTGCGTGTGAAGTGACCAGCCCAGGGCTGCACAGGCGGGAAAGGACCAGGAAGAGGCACAGCTGCTGTGTGGCCAGAAAGACGGATATTCATGTCCCACTGTCCCAGTCTACTCTCCTAAAAGCCAACTCCCCTGAAAGTTGTGGGGTTTCCGTGTTTTCCAGTTACTCTTTTAATGAAACAATAACAGAAGGACAGTTGGGGTTGGGGTGCTACATGGAAGATGAAAACAGAGGGGGCCTCCTCCATTTACGGCGTATTTATAGCTAGACTATTTTTAGTCCGTCTTGTGTTAAGCAGGAAACCCAAACTCGGTCACAGGGAGACAACGGGGCGGCTTTGCCACTGGTCCACCTCGGAAAGACCTACAAGCTGTTCTGTTCCCACCTCCATCCACACGGGTCCTGGGCCGACTCGTTTTCCTGGGGGCACAAGAGCCTGTATACGGGCAGAAAGGCTCCGTCTGTGCCCAGGCCCTTATCTACAAGCAGCTCTCAAAGCCTAAGCACTGACAGGTGGGGCAAGAAGAACTGTGGCTCTTCTTATCTGTCTGGGAATTATCTGGTATAGAATTAGCAGAACTTCAAAGTCCTGAGGCAAGGTGACCCCCCTTGCAGCGGACAGTCTGCCTGGGGAGAGGGGAGGGACGGATGAATAGGATTTCAGGCTGTCATGGAAACTTTTCTTTCCTCGGGCCTCCGAGCATATGGCAGGTGTCCTGAAAACTCCCGTCCTGCCGCCCGCGGCTGGCTGCTGCCCTCAGACATGTGGGTGGGGGCGTCTGCCTCTCTGTCTGCAGGGCCCCCTCCCTCCGCCCTGGCCCCAGCCGCACAAAGGAGTCTCCAGTGTGCGCCTCACATCCCGGTTCCCCAGACAGACGCTGGGGGAGAAATCTAAGTCCCCTGCCCCCAGCGGGCCTCGATGCAGCCCGCAGATCACAGACAGCAGCGGGCCAAAGGCCACGGCGCAGGCTCCTCCTGGGCCGCCTGAAATGCGACGCCCGTTCTGCCCTCCCTGACGGGGATGGCTCTCGCAAGCCCCTCATCTCTTCCCGAGACCAAAGAGAGCTGCACGTTGCTTTGGGCCTTTGAAGTAGCAACCAGGGTGGACGCGGCCAGGCTGGCTCCTCTGTGTCACACGGGAGATGCAGCTGGCTCAAGGTGGAGAAAATCACAACCCGGGAGGCCGTGAAGCCCAAGCAGCCAAAGGGATTATAAATAACAGCAGGTGGAAGGTGCCAGGGTGGAAAACAACACAGAGTTTTCAAAAGCCTGAAGCTCCTGGGACTGGGCGATCGTGCCCGTGGCAGCCTGGGGCCGTGTGCCCGCAGCGCACACAGTCACAGCGGGGGCGGGCACCATCTCCTCGGGAGATCGGCGGGACTCAAGGGTGGGGGAGCACGCCCACACAATGAAACGGGACAGTCACACACTGTGGTGGAGACTGCAAGATCTGATTGAATTTTAAGAAGAAAATACTAGATGTCGAGGAAATGTCGCGATGGCTGGGCCAGCTCGGGGCATCCGCTCCTCTGCATTCAGGGCGACCTGGGGCAGTGCGGACATTCAGGTCTGAAGAAACCCTCGCTCCATCCATTTCATTTATCCCGTAAATATTATTATCGTGAGGTCTTACTGTGTGCCAGCCTCCTCCTCCTCCCTGAAACTTGACTGGTTAGTGGGGAAGTGGGTGTTGATTAAAGGTACACAATGCCACCCTGGCCAGAGTGGCTTAGTTGGTTTGAGTGTCCTCCTGTAAATCGAAAGGTCGCGGGTTCCATTCCCAGTCAGGGCACATACTTAGGTTGCAGGTTCAGTCCCTGGTCAGGGTATATACGAGAGGCAGCCAATCAATGTCTCTCTCACACATTGATGTTTCTCTCCCTCTCTTTCTCCCTCCCCTCTCCTCTCTCTAAAAATCAATGAGCATGTCCTTGGGTGAAGATAATAAGCAAACGAACAAACATGGTGCCATGAGACCTCACCTGCCCAGGGCGGGGGGAAAGGCTTTCTCAAGGGTGCCAGTGTGAGCTGACATTAACCAGAGGGGGGAGAGGAAGCTCCTCAGGCAGAGGGAACAGCATGTGCAAAGTTCTGTGGGGGAGGGGGTACGGGGGAGGACGTTGCACTTGACTGGAACCCAGGGAGTGAAGAGGAGACAGGCCTGAGGTCAGGGAGGCAGGACCTTGACTTCAGGCCTTTATCCTAAGGATGGCGGTCGACCAGGGGGCGGTTCTCACTGGCACAGTGGCATGGCAGGCTTGTGTTTCAAGCAGATGACCCAAGCAGCAGCATGGTCCTACAGTAATCCCTACCAAGGCGGACAGATGGTCAAAGTTCTACTGTGTTTCTAGGGATGCCTCTTTGAAGATGCAAATCCCTGGACAGCTACACCCAGGTCTGCCGACTATCTGCCAACTACATAATAGGTCCAGCTTGGGCCCCAACCAAGTGGTCACATTTCTGAATACCTCTAGAAACAGGGGTTGCTAAGGTTCCCCTCTCCCACACCAGGAAGCAGGTGACACACGGCTGACGGCAAAGGTTCTGACATGGCGTTTTTGGGCTCAAATCTTGTTCGCTATATAGAGCTGGGTGACCCAAGGCAAGTTTCTTAACCTCTCTGTGCTTTGGTAAAATGGGATACTAAAAGTGCCTGTCTCCAAGGTCACTGTGTGGACTCCTTATGATCAAGAGGCTAAAACCCTTCTCGCTTAGCCTGGTATGTTACAGATGCTAACGAAAATGTTAATGGTTATTATTAATAATATTAGTTCCCACTCAGCTGAGCATGAACCCAGAAGATGTGCACCAACCACAGAAGAGATGCACCAAGATCTGGGAGCACCCAGGCTCACTGAGGAGGAGGCAGCCCAGGGTGGGGGGGGGCGCGAGGTCCACGTACTTGCGAGCAGGAGGCAGGAGACCGCCGCGGCGTACAGCTGCTTGGAGCTGGTGATGTTGTAGCGATCCAGGAAGTGGTCCAGCAGGTAGACGGCCAGGTGCCGGGCCGCGGGGCACAGCTGGCAGTGGCTGCTCAGCAGGGTCAAGATGTCCACAAGGAACCGGCGGCTCTTCAGGAGCGGTGAGTGGGCCCGGAAGGTGGGCAGCTTCAGTTCCTGGAACAGGCAGGGCAGAAGGGGCGGGACAGGTCAGGGCTGCCTCTCGAGGGCCTCGGATGCTCCCGGGCGCTGTCCCATCCACCCTCACCCAGCACAGGCTCGGAAAGTGTCAGAGACCTTCACAGTGACAGGGCCAGGTGAAGGAGACAATCGGCTCCACTCCCAGGGAGAGGCTGGCCACTGGAGACCCGCAGGCCACAGCAGAACGCAGGGGACCCACATCCAAATTCGGGTTCTGCTGCTCAACCAAGCTGTGCCCCTGGTCACCCGCCTTCACCCATTTCCTCCTCAGCAGCTGAGGATAAAATGAAAAATGAATATAAAGCACCTAGCACACAGTATCCTCTCAGAGTCCATGGCTTAACTCCCTGTGCGGCTGGGACTGTGAGAGACAACGTACAAAAAGTTCAGTGTAAAAAAGTTGTTAGTACAAAGAGCTCCCAAACACTCACATGCCCCTCCCCCAGGAGGGGACTTTTACTTTGTAATTTATACACTGCCAGGTTATTGGAATTTATTTGTCTAACACAAGACACACCAACAAAATATCAAACCAACCAAGATTTTTATGGTAGAGGAAATTTTCTTATATAGCTATCATATTTACAGTTTAACCAAAGTAGACCAGGCACAATTTATTTAGAAAATATCTTAGCAACATTTTGTCTAATAGAGAAAGCAAAGAGATGCAAAAGTGAATAAAAATAGGAAAGGAGAAGCTGGCAGTTTTATCGGGGCATGAGCAGCAGCTTTGGGACTAAAAGATAACTGTTCATTCATCGTTCACTTATTCATTCATTCAAGAGGTAGGAATTCATTCATTCCACTAAGTAAGTTTCAAGTACCCTCTGTACACAGGCCACTATGCTAGGCACTGGGAATGCAATGTGGAATAAGACAGACGCAGAACTGAATATAAGATTAACACTATAAACCTTTAGAAGAAAACAGAAGCAAAACTTTATGACGTTAGACAATGACTTCTTCGCTATGACATCAAAAGCAGAAGCAACAAAAGGCAAAAAACAGCTAAGTTGGACTTCAAAATGAAAGTCTTTCATGCTTCAAAGACACCATCGAGAAGGTGAAAAGACAGAATGGGAGAGAATGTTTGGAAGTCATATACCAGTAAAAAGAGACTAGTCAGAATATATAAAGAACTCTTACAATTCAGTAATAAAAAGATAAACAATCTAACTTAAAAGTGGGCAAAGGACTGAAAACATATTCCCCCAAATACACAGAAATGGCCAACAAGCACATGAAGAGATGCTCCATCATTAGGAAAATGCACATCAAAACCACAGCGAGACACCACCTCACACCCTCTAGGATGGCTGTCAGGAAAACAAAACCAGAAACTCTCAGTGAGGGTGTGACAACCCCTCATTCTGGTGGAGGGAAAGCAACTCGGGGCAGCCGCTGTGGGAAAGTTTGTCAGAATGTGAAACGCAGACTTACCCCAGCCCCAGAAGTTCCAGTCCTTGGTGTACACCCAAGAGAGAGGAAAACATTTGCCCACACAAAACCATGGCAACGACAAATGCTCACAGCAGCATTTCCAGAGTAACACCAAAATGGAAGCAACCCAAATGCCCATCCAATGAGGCATAAATAAAACAAAATATAAACAAAATATAGCATATCCATACAATGGAAGGTTATTAGGCCATAAAAATGAGGCCAGTACTGATACATGTTACAATATGGGTGAACCTTGAAAACATGATGCTAAGTGGGGGAAAAAAGCCAGTTATGAAAGGCCACATACTGCACGATTCCATGTGCATGAGACCGTGCATGAGTCACGGAAGCTGAAAGGGAGACCTTACCGTGAAAGGATTTTATGCTGGAATCTCCTCTTCTGGCTGGTTCCCCCCCCCCGAGAGCCTGCACCAGGACACAGCTCTCAGGAGCCCCAGGGCTTTGCTATTTTTGCCACGGAAAGTGCTCCAAGCCTGAATGAATTAGTTCCTCTCTTAACATTTGTTTGCACAGGAAGAACCTGCGTTTGAAACAGTCCTATACCACCCCACTGGAGCTACTTCACCTGCAACAGATCTGAGGCTGGAAGTCATTCAGTGTGCCCTTCCCCCCCACAACCTTTTATTTATTCTGCAATTGTGGAGAAGAGCTTTTACCCCGATAGGACTTCTTGACGTATGATTTCCAAACATTTCTCCCATTCTGTGAAGTGAATTCTTTGTGTATTTTTCATCCTTATCTTCATTATTTGATGAATTTATCCGGCAACCATGGGACTTCCAAACTCTTGGGGGGCAGGGTCTCATCCGTGTGTTCCCACCAACCCCGTGTGACTAAAACACGGTCAGCTGCCAGAATACTAATTCATGAAGAAATGGAAGGCGGGAGGGGGAGAGGAAGGGGGGAGAGAAGGACTGGAGGGCCTTGGTGAGAACACAGCGTCCTGGGGCCGATGAGGGGGAAGGCATGGCATTGTGCAGAGAGGGGCAGGTCCGTGGGGACTTCAAGGGGAAGAGATCAATGCAGGCAAGTTTTGGAAGGATGTCCAGGACTTAAAGCTGCAGGACAGACAGAACGTTCAGCAGGAAAAACCACACCTGCCAAGCCACACAGGTGTCCCATCTGGGAATCTAAAGTGCTTGGAACGAGCAGACGGAGGGGTGGGCCTGGACAAAGCAGGCTGGGAGGGTGGGCAGGGTGTGCCCTGCTAAGATATCTGGCCTGTCCTGAGGGCAATAGGGAGCCTCTGCAGGCTTTAGAGCAGGGCACCCACAGGGGCAGAGTGGCCAGGCATTATGATCTCCTGGCCAGCCTCCTCCCAGGTTATGGCCAGAGAGCTGGTAGCAGCAGCTGATGGGAGGCTGCAGCTCCCCCCAACAGCAGTCCACCTCCCCACCCTCCAGCAGCCCCCATGAGCATAAAAGCTACTTGTGAACTTCCTCTACGCCCTAGGGCTTTTGGGCTCTGGACAAGAAGCAAGCACACAGATCCCTGGGTTTTCTGAAGGAGCAGCCACTGGAAATCAGCCAAGTGAACTTTGGCTCGGGCAGCACAGGCCTCATCAAGGCAGTTCAAAGCCCCAAAACACAAGCCAGATAAGCAACATCCTGACTTCCCTCCCTGCTCAACTCGGCCAAGCCTAACTCCCTCTGGGCTTTCCTTTGTGCCAACAGGGAGCACGAAGCTCAAAGCAACACACTGCAGATCTTCCCTCTGTTCGCGTCCCTGGGGAATGGGTCCACTGGTTTGAGCAGGTTTGAGCAGGAAGTGACTGGGGCATAAAAGAAAAAGTTATGGACCTCTGGTACGGGCACCAATGCATGTCGAGAAGGAGTTAGCAGGAAGGGCTTCCTGGAAGAGGCTCGTCTCCAGGGGAAGCAAGATTCTGAGAGTCACACAGCTGCTGCTGACGCTGTCAATCCCTGTTTCGGCTCGTCCCTCGGGAACCAGTTTAAACGTCTTTCCTTAGAGAGGCTTTCTTGACCCCTCCCCATTCCAACTCAGGGCCGCTTGTTCTCTCTTTTAGCATGTCGATCCCCGTGGTCAGATATGTACTTATGTGTGCATCTCTCTCTGCTAAACTAGCTCCGGAAAGCAGGGGCTGTGCCCACGCGGCCTACACCATCGCCCAGTGCCCAGGATGTGCCTGGCACAGAGAGGCAGGTGCTCAAACAATACTAGCACGACGGGAAAATGACAGCCATAGAAAGACATAAAGGAAACTTAAATGCATATGACTAAGTGGGAAAAAAGCCAAAAAAAAAAAAGGCATAAGAAGAGCTTACACACTACACAATCCCAATTATAGGACATTCTAGGGAAGGCAAAACCATGGAGACAGTGAGAAGATCAGTGGCTGGCAGGGTTGGGGGAGCAGGAGGAAGGAATGGGCAGGGCAGGGAGGGTTTTCAGGGAGTGAAACCTCTGTGCACGACACCGTCACAGTGGACACACGTCATTACACGTCTGTCCAGACCCACGGAATGTACACCGCCAGGCGCACACCCTATGGTGAACAATGGATTCTGAGGGTCAGTGATGTGTGTGGGTAGCCTCACCGGCTGTAACAAAGGTGCCACTCTGGTGGGGGAGGCTGGTAAGGGGGAGGCTTTGCAGGTGTGGGGCAGGGCATATGGAAAACCTCTGCACCTTCTGCTCAGTACTGCTGTGAACCTAAGACTGCTTAAAAACCTAAGTCTACTAAAAGAACGAATACGGGACATCCCTCCCTGTACCAAATACACTCCTCCCCCCGCACATGGGGGAGCCGTGTGGCAGAGTTCGTCGAGTCAGACAGTTCTGCGGTGGACTCTCCAGTCCACCATTTATTTACTAACCCTGGGCATGTGACTGCTGAACCCCAGTGCCCTCATCTGGAAAGTGGGGGTCACGCTGCCATACATCTATCAAGTACCTGGCAGCACTCAGCAAGCATTAGTGGCCTCTCCCTCAAGCGGAGCCATCAAACCTCCGATGACCTGAGCCTCTAGCTTCTGTCCTGGTGGTCTCCGAGGAACCTGCTTTGTCCGGCAGAACGAACCTTTCCACCTCAGTGAGGGTGTAAGGCCGGGCCTGGGGGCCTCTGCAGGAAAGGAGCCCCGCCCGTCCCCTCCACAGAGCCTCCAGCCAAATGGAATTCGGAGCCGGAGCCTCAGCTTCCCCCCGCCGCCAGCACGCAGAGAAGGGCGATTCTTTGGCACATGGACAACAATGTGGGACGCCGGCCCTGTTCAGCTTGAGAATCCAGCTGATTACTTCCCTAACCCAATTAGGGGGAAAGGCATTCATCACAAGGGCTTTGCTCGGAGGACCCGCATTGCCCCCAAAGCACTCTTGACCTGAGTCAGCTTGAAGGCCACGGCAGCCGGGCGCGTGAAGCTGCCCCTTCTGCCAAGCAGCCTGGGTTCTGGAAACAAAAGACTGGCCTGCAAAGCTCTCTCGTGGATTAGGCAGGCACTTGGCAGGCGCAGCGGCAGGCGCAGCGGCAGCAGCCAGGGGGTGGAAAGGGGGCC